TGATGTGCACCGATGCCCACTTCAGTGAGGGCGATGTTGGCACGCAGACTGAAGATCGATTGAAGAGGACAAATGCAAATCCATTCATGTCCAGTCAATGTCTCGTTACTTGGACAAATATGTAAAATCTTACACATGGCTCAAGGAGTATCCTGATGCTCATTAAATAACAATCGTGATTGGAGTCTCAGCACGACCGTAACGAAGAATGAAAGCTGTCAATGCTCATCACATTTCCGCTTTCAACTGAAGAAGCTTCAAATCTTGACGATGCTCCCAGCACGGGGAGGGAACGTTACAGACATTGCGCTGATCAACAAGGGGCAGAGCCTGAAAGCGCATCCGAGAGAGGCACAACGCGTAATCTGCACACCGCACTCCGACGTGCACGCCGCTCACCAATACAAGCGCGACAGTCCAAGCTCAACCTTGCGTCGCTTCCGAGATCTGAAAAAAAATCGGCGACATTCCGGGTTGATTTGGCTACAGCCTCTTTTGAAATCTCCAGTGCACTTTCATTAGGGGCCATCCATTTAGTACGTATGCATAGAGGGGGGAGGGGGGGTTAATCCAAATGCGTACGCTTGCATATGGGGAGTCAACTGACAATGTATGTACGCATAGGAAACGGGGGGGGGGGGGGGGAATGAAGCCTTGATAATAATAATAACGCAGCCGGCAGTGGACTATCTGTTTGCTTAAACACGTTAATTCATCCTTGATAGTTTCTGCGTGGATTAAAAATCGGATGTTCTATAGGATTCGGGGGGGGGGGGCGTTAGTCAAGCGTACGTACGCAGGTGGGGGGGGTTGTTAAAAGTCCGCGTGCGTACAGGGAGAGGGGTAGGGGTCAAGTTTTGACAGATATTTGCGTACCTACTGAATGGATGGCCCCTTATTCAGTGCGCCCTGCGAATCACTGCGATGGAGTGGCAGCGCCCTCGCGTGGCGCGCACCAACACCGCTCCAGGAACCGCAGCGACCCAAACGGCATCTGGGAATCGGTCGCGATTCGTGACTCGGTCAGCAACTCTGGACCCGTGCCGGCAGTAAAACAAATGAACTCAACGTGACCCCCAACATCCCCATCTCCCCCACCCCCTAGGGGTCCCTCCTCTCGCGTGAAAATACCCAAGCCCCCCTCACCCAGACAACCCCCCCACCTCACGCACTCTGCCCGAGCACCCCGCACCCCCTCCCCCTACCTCTACCACTCCCCCTACCCCTCTCCCTTCCTCTACTTCTCCCTCTACTCCTCCCACTACCCCTACCCCTCCCCCTACCCCTCCCACTCCCCCTACCCCTCCCCTACCCCGCCCTTAACCCCGGGTGCCCCCCCCCCCTCCTTGCACCCCACTTCATGTACCGGTCTCTAATTGGCGAGGGCTGGGCCAGGCCTCGTGCTCGTCACTGAGCAGGTGACAGTCAGCTGCTCGCTCAGCGTATCCCTCCGTGCGGTCCATCGCTGCTGCTCAGCCGGGCCGCTCACTCGCTCAACGCAACGCGTCGTGTTAGATGCATCCTGGACTACGGCAACGGTGTAAAGGAGCGACGTCAGCGGCGCGAGTTCACGTTGAGACGTCTCCACGTGGGGGTCTCCTCATGATGGGAGCCCCGCGGTGTCCGCGTCTCTGCCGCTCAGGGCTGCGCTGACACCCGGCGTGGGGAGCGGTGGCGCAGCGGTTAGCGGCGCGCTGCGTTACGAATCCGGGTCGACCGAGTTGGATTCCCGCTCACAGCCGCATACGCCGGCGACGAATGACCTGAACAACCGGTCCTGGGCCTCCCCTAGGTCGACTCGGCCTCACAAATGTGTACGTAGTGCGGTGTGTATCAATCATCGGCGCTGGGAAGACAAAAGCGGCCGGGCGTGGTGCTGGCCACCGACCCTCGTGTGCCACAGTGCCGGCCTTCACAGGTGCTGCTACTCGCTAACAGCACTTGCCCCAACAGTCTGTTAAGGCTACACGGGGGATCTTTGTAGCTTTGACTGCTAGCCAGGCCTGTGCTGGCATCTAGTGATACGAAAAGTTTGATATCACTTATTTTTACCGCCGTAAATGCAAACAGCTGATTAATACAGAGGCTGGTTGCTATGGAGAAGCGTCACAGTCACTATGCATGGGAACGTGCGTGGAGACGTCACCACGCACAACACGTGACGACCAGTGACGACTTCAGCACTAACCGGTTGTGTGTTGGAGTGAACCCACGACAACGTTTACGATTTGAGTTCCGTGACGTTTCGCTGGTGACTACAACAACAAGAAGCAGCGTCGGGCGATTTTCCAGGCAAGGCCCACTAAGCTATGCAGCTCTTTTATAGTTCTACACACAGAAGCGACCTTGCCACAGCTCAATGAAGTGGCTTATCACGTAGATATTTATATCAGCCAAATACTCATAATTCTAAATGTGGACGTAAAACTAGAGGGCCCAGAGAAAAATCCACGCCACCACGGGGAAAGATAAACACGGAAACTCCAAATATACAGCAGGCGTCAGGGTTGGGATAGAACCCACGACCTCATGTACACCAGGCGAGGTAGTTAACATCTCCTAGCCGCCGTGGCTCTTTGATGTGGAATGATGCTCTGAGCCTCGTGTCAGTGTCTAGTGCACCAATATACTTCTCATCCTATTGTCTCCCTTTAGTTGGCTGTCGGTATCCTGAACAGAAAAAAATAATCGCTTGTTAACTTATGAAGATCATAAAATATGAAGGAGGAGGGGGAAGAGTAGGAGGGGGAGGAGGTGGAGGGGAAGGAGATTGAGGCGGGGAAGCTGGGGAGAGGGGGGATACACTTCGTAAGTGTAGCGATGGCAGTGGACTGCAAGCACTGAGCACGCTTCACGACCATCTTGATGAACACCGCGCGATTGAACCCGGCTTGTGACGAAGTCTTTTGAAGGCGAGGGTCACGCTAGGGGCTGCAAGGTGGCCTGATGGCGCCACGTGGAGCAGGATCGTGACGCCCTCCTTGACGCGCCTCGCCTTCGTCTCTGTGATGCTCCCTGCGGTCGCGATGCTGAGACGACGCCGTGGGCAGTAGGGGGCAGTGCAGCCACATCCGTGGCTGTCCCTGCGTTGTGATAGGCTCCCAACGTTTTTCCACGCGTCCCATCTTCACAACCCGCGGTTGGTAGCGTGGTGAAGTAAGGTCAAATAACTCCCACAACCCGCACGGCATAGGGTGGCCTTAGTCCGTGTACGCATCTACGTACGTACGTGTGTTGAACTTCTTTCGCACCGTACGTAGCCAACCGTGATAATCGGAGGTGCGGGAGTTCAGGGGTTGGTTGACAAGAATAACAACAACAACGATGATTTCAACTTGGAGCACGCTGCCCGGTAAGTCGCTCGCTCTCTTACAGAGAGGACGACCTCAGAAGCGCCAGGAGAGAGGATCCGCAGACAAGGAGCGGAATAGGCAGCAGTCAGGCTGTGAGTAACCGGCGCCATCAACCATTGCTCCAAGCTTTGCGCTCCTCTACATAGAAAAGTGTCGTTGGAAAATTTTAAATTGGAGGTAAAAAATTCTAGGAGCACCCGGATGAAAATTCACGTGTGGGAGGGAGGGAGAGTGAGAAGTGTTCACCCAGAGCTCCTGACTATACCTCTACAAACTTAATTTACTTCACCAGGGTTTACACCCACCATGATTGACCAAGATGAGGTAGTATCGGAAAGAGCCCTCAACGTAAAAATCTAAATTAATTACATTTCTGTCCACCTCATTAACATTTATACACCCATCAATGATGCAGAAACACTATTTTTTTAATATGTTACGGAGCTATCTCGAAAGCATCCCAAATGACGAGTGTCTGATTTTGCACGCTCGATGTACTCGACTGCACTGGCACTGGACAGTGCAAAAGCGGTGTCCTGAACACCTTACAGGATGTGCTCTGCACGTGCAGTCAGTGGCGGACGCAACATCCAAAAGAGCAAGGTTTCACCTTTACAAGAACCATAGCTTACAGAACATTGTCGCAATCAAGCATTGACAGATTCTACATTTCAAAAGACCTTGAAAATAGTGCAGTGTCATCCAGGATTCGGGCTGCGCCACTGACAGATCATGAATTTAAACTTCTCTAAATAAAGATACGCGGAGTCCCAAGGGGATCGCCACTCTGGCATTTAAATAATGCCCTTTTGAGGACACCACCTTCACTAATCTCTTTGGGATCTGCTGGGTGGAATAGCAGTGAAAACAAGTTTACGATTGAGAACCAAGGGGTGCATGGATGCAGTAAAGTCACGTAGGTATAAAATAAATCACGACGTTATAGCCTTGTTGTAGCTGCTCTCTCGCAAGTTCAGCAGTTCCACTGCTGGATTATATTTTTTCCGCCTGAAGACACGACCGCTTGTGTTGCGATCGAAACGTGGTGATTTATTTTATTTTATACCTACGTGACTTTACCGAAAGAACCAAAGAGAATGCAGTAAAGGTTAAGAACCGCTGCTTAGCGTGACCCTCGCCTTCAAAAGCCTTCCTCACAAGCCAGGTTCCATCGCGCAGTGTTCATCAAGATGATCGTGAAGTGTGCTCTGCTTAAACTCTACTGCCAACGCTGCGCTTATGGAGTTTTTACTTTTTTATGATCTTATGAAGCTTAACCAGTGACGATTCTTATTTTTTCCATGCTTGATGCTCAAAATACGTTGCGAAGTGTTGTGGTTCACTTGACACAGGCACAACGCCTACATCGTAACTCTTTAAAAGCAGAGCCACGTTGCACTCTAAAAATATCAGACAAATCACACGACATGTTTCAGGCTGTTCGCCGACAACTATATCCATTAACATCGCCTGACATATAACAACATCTATCTGAATTTTTTTTACATGCCTTTGATTTGGCAAACTTTATTTGATGTACATGATCGTGGTTCTTGCTGTGTTTTTACTTTCTGCGCTGTCTTATAACATTCGATAGAGAGATATATATTTATAGCCCCATCAAATGCAAATGTTTGAAGTGCGGCTTTCTGGGTCGGGCTGCGTGCTGAGCAACGTTCCCTTCTCGAGCGTTCGCAAGGCGCTGCCGCAGTCATCTTCAGGGGCGTGCCACTACCAGCTCAACCGGTAAAGCCGCCCTTGGATGACGCGGCTGTGAGAAAAACAATGTACGCGTTAAACACGCACACATTCGTCTGTGATAAAACTGTAAAAATAACAAGAGCATGAATTGAAAAACTGTTGGTTGGGTGAAGTCGGATCAAGGACGTATGGCGATGTAAATCCACTGCTGCGTGACGGCCTTCCCCCCAGGTCTCTGTGACCTTCTTTGAGATGCCCATAGATTGGCAGACTATTTTTTGGTATACTGGATTGTGCCTATTTGCTCTGTTTTTACTATCTGTGCTGTCTGACTGCGCTCGAGAAAAATTCAGTAATAGTTATGTATAGCCCCATCACCTGTCAATACTCCAAGTGCGGATTTCTGGGTTGGGCAGCGCGCTGAACGATGTTCCCCTCTCGAGCGTCCGCAAGGCGCTGCCGCAGGCATCTTCAGGGGTGCGTCACTTGCAGCTCGAGTGGTGAAGACGTATTTGGACGACTCGCGGCTGAGAGGAGACGAAGAATAGGCGCGTTAACACGCGCTTACATTCGTTTGTGATAAGTCTGTAACAAAAAAATAATAATGCCGGCGTTGAAGTTGGGTGAGCGGTGAACGATGTTAAACTTGGCGGATGTTGATCTCAGGTGGCCCGATTGGCAGTACAATGCACAAATCACTGCACCACCGCTCTACCCGCAGTTTGAACATTTACATCCAATAATCGGGATTGTAAATACGTCGACGTGAAGGTTTTCAATTAATGGGGTAATGTTGTTTAAGTTATACGCAATACAACATCGAGTTGCCAGATATACATGCAGTCGATCGCAGTGTAGAAAGCAGTCGAGTTCACTTAAAGGTGTTGAGGATGACGACACGTGCCTCAGCTTTGTCTACAGTGTATCATTACTCCGAGAACAATGTGTCATCAAAGATGGTCTTCTGGATAGCTCATTCACAAAATGTAATAATAGTTATTTATCAAAAAGCGACATGCATTTTGAGTATCACACGGCAGTTCAGTAACTTCAAAAGGTCAAAAGGTGAAAATGTATTAACTCACAGTGCGTCGTCTTTGTGTGGTTATCCTGTTGGCGTTGAAGCACGGCCCTAAAGAAGGCCGTCTCTGGTGTGTACCAATCACTATCAAAGACAATGCATATATTAATTATCAGAGCGTGTTTTTTTGCATGTTCTCCACAAGTATCGTGTGTGGTTATTTTTATTTTTTTCACTCTGGTTATTGTCAAGCACCGGCCAAATGAGAACCCCTCCGACCGGTTCAGCTTCACATTCTTTCGCTCTGCGTGAAAACAAATCTCAGCCGTGAGCAATTACTGCAGCCTGCACTCCATTGGTTCTAAGTCGTTAACAATGTAATAATGTTAATAAACACAAAGCGTTTGATGAAACAAAGAAGTTGTTCTCACGTGGCCGTTTTTTAAAATTGTTAACCACTGGTATCGTGTATATTGAGGTGTATAGTGTAGTGTATAGTGTGGTGTATAATGTAGTGTAAAGTGGAGTGTATGGTGCACTGGATAGTGTACTCTATAGTGTACTGTATAATGTACTGTATAGTAGTGTAGTGTATAATGTAGTGTATTGTGCAGTGTATATTGTAGTATACAGTAGTAATTTTAAGCTTTCGTGACTGCAAGAATCCATACTCTTTGGTTCTTTTGGTAAAGTCACGTAGGTATAAAATCAAATAAATCACGACGTTTCGATCGCAACACAAGCGGATTATATTTTTTCCGCCTGAGGACGACCGCTTACACACACATGTGGACTAACACACACACATATGGACTGACACACACATATACATCGACGTACACACACACATCGACTGACACACATTGACACACATAGACACACAAACGCACATTGACTTACACACTCAGATGGAGCCATGCACACACATCGACTAACACATATGTAATAACAGCCATAGAGGGTTCACGTGGGGATTGGCTTGCCGGTCCCGCTTTGTAGCCAATAAGGGATGAGCCAGGGGAGCATGGCCTCGGCGTGATCACGGCATGTTAGCAGGGGTGATTGGCCTGGCCAATCGGGGCCTCAGCTAATGGGGAGCCGGATCAGAGGCGTGGTCCCGGGATTGACAGGGAATCATCGGGAACGGTCAACGCTGTCTATGGAGGATTGGCTGGGGGGTACCACGTGACAAAGGGATTAAGAGAGAGCAGTCGAGAGCAGACTTGGGAACGAGAAGAGCAGGAGTCACGCGCGTACGGGGGCTCTGGGTGCCACGTGCGCGGTGGGGACTTGGCGGGAAGTCTGCCCTCTCTCCGTTGTCTGTCAGCAACGGGGAGTGTGTGAAGTGTAACTGTGGAAGTTGAAAATAAAAAGGACTGATTCCGGAAGCCGTCTCAAGAAGGTTTATTACACACACACACACAAGTGGACTAACACACACACAGCGACAGATACGCACACAAATGGACTGACACGCACACTTGGACTGAGACACACACAAACACACATCCGGCGTTGTCCGTTTGAAAAAGACAGACACACACATGGACTTAAACACACGCATGGGCCTACACGCACACACATATGGACTGGAACACACACACATGGACTCACACACACACACATTGACGTGCACAACAATCCCCGATGATGGCACAGCTATCAGCATCGCAGTAGTACGTATTATCTTCTTGGTTCTTTCGGTAAAGTCACGTAGAATGTAAATAATAAAATAATAAAAATAAAACATAATAAAATAATTCTCACGACGTTTCGGCCACAACGCAAGCAACCTGAGGACGGCTGCTGTCGAGAAGACAGAGACTCTGTCTTCTCGACAGAAGACAGACTCTGTCTTCTCGACAGACCTTTTCTCCACCTGAGGACGGCTGCTTGCATTGTGGCCGAAACATCGTGAGAATTATTTTATAATGTTTTATTTTTATTATTTTATTATTTACATTCTACGTGACTTTACCGAAAGAACCAAGAAGATGAATCCCTGCAGTCACAAAAACTTTACATCGAAATTTAGTACGTATCAGTAAATAACGTGGCGTGACGAATGGAAACGATGGAAATGCATAAAATAAATAAGTGTAAATTAAGGAGCAGCAGTACACACAGGTAAGTTGAGAAGCCGGCTACAGTCTAGATTGTAGACTGGCGGTACACCGACTCAATGACATAAGCATTGCTACAGTGGACATTAAAAGCTGACAATACGGGCAGCAGCTGAAAAAGCAGGATACAATCGACATGAAAGGCTGGCAGTACACTGAGTGAGGTAAAGAAGCAGGCACCAGATTATAGACTGGCATACACTCATAATGGCCAAAACGCAAATTAGCAGTGTAGATATTAGAGTGGCAGTGCACTGACGTTAATTAATGAGCAGGCAGCAGGCCACAGCACAGACCGGCAGTACACCGTCGCAGTGTAAAAAAAGAAAGCAAATTTTTTTGAATATTTAGCAACCTAATAATGAAAAATAAGTTTTCTGTACACAAACATTATTATTGTAATCTTTGGCAACGTATTTGTTTGATAATAGTAAACAATTAACGTGCGTTATCTGCACACAAACATTATTATTGTAATATTTTGCAAATGTTTTGCTTCATAATAGTAAATAATGAACGTGAGTTCTTATCTGCACACAAACATTATAGGTGTAATATTTGCCAAATTATCTGTTTCATATTAGTAAATAATGAAGCTGAGTTGTTATCGGCACGCAAGCATTATTATTATTATAATGTTTGGCTACTTATTAGTTAAATAATAGTAAACAATGAAGCAGTTGTTATCTGCACACAAACATAATATTTGTAATATTTATAAACTTATTTGTTTAATAATTGTAAACAATAAACCTGCGTTCTTAGCGAAAGATTAAATGAAATTGTACTTTACTTTCGTGTGGTGAGGCCTAGTCCCATGCAGAGCCCACGGCCTAACCTACATTGGCCAGCCGGAGAAGGTGACACATTGCCAGGCGGGGGGCTGGGCCGCTATTCCCGCCCCCCCCCCACTATCCCCCCGCCTGAGCTACAAGAATACTACAAAAGACTATGTAAGCGCTAAAATATTAGTATCTAGCGAGCCTATAGTAGTAAGTGCGCACATTGAGGTGGGGGGGAGAGAAGAGGATGTGACACTTTGATGAATTATCCATCAGGGTTGTGTGTATGGTTTGTTGCATTTTGAACACGAAGGAGAAATCTCCCCCACCCTCCAGCGATGACGTGCGTGCGTTGGTAGGGGCAACCCATGTGCAGCTTGGGTGGGGTGGGGAAATAAATAAATAACGTTAAATAGCGCTAAATTGTTAATTAATCTAAATTAAAGTTTACGTATGGCAAAACGGAATAGCCTATTCCCACCGCGGGGCCTAGGTTGTGCTGCCTGGAAAAAACATTTTGGATATAAATGCCACCGTTCGAGAGCCAAATCCCTCGCAAGCGCACGCATGTGGAGACTTTTATATATAAAAAAGAAAAAGAAAGAATAAAGTTACGAAAAGCATAGTATTATAAATGATTGTTATGATTAGTATAACATTAATTATTGTTTAGATAATAATAGGGAATGTTGATTATCTAGTTATCTATATATATAAAATCGTGAATGTCTGTCTGTCTGTGTGTGTGTGTGTGGATTTCGGCCCATACGCACTTTCATTGGACGGCGGTTGCCCCTGGCAACGGCTAGCGACGCCTTCGCCGCTTTCATTGGACCTGGCAACGGCTAGCGACGCCTTCGCCAAGGGCTGCAGTTTCATTGGACGGCGGTTGCCCCTGCCAACGGCTAGCCACGCCTTCGCCACTTTCATAAGCTCCGTATTTAATTAAATAATAGCCATTACACAGTATTGTTGGAGCGCTAGGGGGGGGGGAAGGAACGCCACCCGTACCCTGCCTCTTCCAAGCCGACAATTTTAGGCGAGGCCGCAGGCTTTGCACGCTACTAGGCCTCGACACCCACCACGCCACTCTGAGGTAAATTCATCAAAGTTTTTCCTACTCTTCACTACACCCCCACCACAATGTGTGCTATTAATATTACTTTTAAACCCAACGCGCCAACAATCGATTAATTTAATGTTCACTGTACAAATACTCATTAAGCTGGGTGAGCGTACTGCCAGTCTATCATGTACACTGTAGCCTGCTTATTAAGCTCGGTGAGCGTACTGCCACTCTATCATGTACACTCTAGCCTGCTTATTAAGCTGAGTGCGTGTACTGGCAGTCTATAATGTGGACTCTTGCCTGGTTATTATAATCGATTCTTTATATGTTCTTTGTACAAACAGTCATTAAGCTGCTTGAGCGACCCCAGTTCGATTCCAACACACGCCCACCACCGCTGACGATTATTTGAAACGGACCTGGCCCTCCCCTAGGTCCACTCAGCCTCAAACGCGTAACTGCTGTCATGTGTGAACATCGTCACTGGGGAGAAAAAGGCGGCCGGGCATCGTGGATCCAAGTCCCGGGCGAAGCCGGGTCATGTGTATGTGTGTTTGTGTTTATGTGTATGTCTGTGTGTCTCTATGTATGTGTGTATGTATGTGTATGTATGTGTTTGTGTGTATGTGTGTGTGTGTATGTATGTGGGTTTTTTTGTATGTCTTTATGTGTATGTCTGCGTGTCTCTATGTATGTGTGTATGTACGTGTGTGCATGTGTTTGTGTGTATGTATGTGTGTGTCTATGTATGTGTGTGTATGTGTTTCTGTGTATGTATGTGTGTGTATGTATGTGTGTTATGTGTCTGTCTGTGTGTCTGCATGTATGTGTGTGTGTATTGTGTATGTGTTTGTGTGCATGTATGTGTGTGTTTGTGTGTATGTGTATGTCTGTGTGTATGTATGTGTGTATGTGTTTGTGTGTATGTGTGTGTATGTATGTGTGTGTATGTGTTTGTATGTGTTTGTGTGTTTACGCTCGCATTACACAAATGTGTTGCTGGCCTAAGGCGTTCCTCGCACAGCATTGCCGCTTTATTATTTCAGTCGTTTACTGCCTTACGCACCCTGAAAGTCGTGTGTGTCTGCAGCAAGCGCGTGTATGTGTACCTATGGACGCGCGCGCGTGTGTTGTGTAGGGGGAACGGTAGTGTAGTGCTTAGCGTGCTGTCTGTGTCTGTGTGTGTGTCTGTGTGTGTGTCTGTGTGTGTGCGTGTGTGGTGTGTGGGGAGCGGTAGTGTAGTGCTT